GTCAAATGTTCTCAAACCTATAACTTTAAACGTATTTATGTTATCCAAAAAATAAAAACGCTACGACATAGATAAAATTGTCCTCTATATGTTGTAAAATTTTGATTATTCTATTATAATTATAATGCGAGAAAGGTTGTCCCGCGCGAAACAGTTTTTACAACCGAATTACGAGTGGTGTGGCGTCCTCTTAACGTACCTACCAACCACGGTTCTGTTTACCGATGCGCTATGATACAATAATTATATTATATAATATTATGAATGTTTAGGAAACTTGAAATTATTAGCTGATAATTCTAAAAATACACACAATCAGGAATATGATAAGTTATTTTACGAAAATATTAAATAGGTATACTCGTATATTTTATAGTGTATACACAAACATACGTAGGTACATTGTTTAAAAGGCGAGTGAATTGTGTAATACAATCAATACCACAACTTAGTAAAGTTATATTTTTAATTTTGTTAGGTATCTATTTTTTATTAGTCACGAGACTGTTTTTATCGTACGTGTATTTCTTGTTGCCGTTCTTGTTTATTTTTTTTTTTTTAATAATGAATAGCAGAAATGATAAAAAAAGAAAACACTGCGGAGGTGCAGAAAAAATTAGAGCTTTAAACAAAAAGAAGTTGGCCTTAGATGCAGAAAAATGTTTAAAAATTAATAATATGTTTAAACACTTAAAACCTGTTTGTGAGACTATGCCTGATGAAACAGTAAGTTATACTAAATTTTTTGTTGGAATAAAAGTTGATAGCTAAATTTAAAATTATTTTTGTAAAAAAAAAATGTTTAAATATGAATGATATGTATTTATTATTTTTAAACTTCTATAGGATGCAAAAAGTGCTGTTAGTGCTTTTGACATACCTCAATTTGAAAATGTTGGTCCACATATGCCTGATGAAACAGTAAGTATATACTAAATTTTTTGTTGGAATAAAAGTTGATAGCTAAATTTAAAATTATTTTTGTAAAAAAAAAATGTTTAAATATGAATGATATGTATTTATTATTTTTAAACTTCTATAGGATGCAAAAAGTGCTGTTAGTGCTTTTGACATACCTCAATTTGAAAATGTTGGTCCACATATGCCTGATGAAACAGTAAGTATATACTAAATTTTTTGTTGGAATAAAAGTTGATAGCTAAATTTAAAATTATTTTTGTAAAAAAAAAATGTTTAAATATGAATGATATGTATTTATTATTTTTAAACTTCTATAGGATGCAAAAAGTGCTGTTAGTGCTTTTTACATACCTCAATTTGAAAATGGTAGTCCTTCTTGTTCAAGAGATGATTTCAATTATTCAAGGGACTCTAATAATGAGCACATGTTTAAAAGACCAAAATCAAATGAAATTAAACATTTTTTTGAGTTTCATCCAATCCAAGATTTTAATAAAACTGAACAACAACCATTCAACTATAAGAAAACCTTTTTTCGGCCTGATGGTAGTTTACGTTATTGGCTTACTTATAATGAAAACAAAAAATACTTTTTTTGTTCAGTATGTTTGGCATTTGCTAAAAGTAATGACGAAAGCAAGTTTATATCAGGAATGAATGATTTTAAACATTTATATTGTAGAATTAATGATCATGAAAATAGTAAAAATCATTATTATTGTGTTGATACCTATATGATGCATACAAAAGAAAAAAGTATTGATGTTTTATTATTTAAAAATCAATTAACTAAAAGAATGCAAGAAGTTGAACACCGTAGAATGATTTTTCAAAGGATTGTAGATGTTATTAAGTTGATTGGTAAACGTGGCTTAAGTTCTCGAGGAGCATATGAATCAGCAAAAGACTTGGCTAATCCTAATGTCAGTCATGGAAATTTCCTCGATATATTACTATTATTAGCCAAGTATGATGCACCATTGGATGAACATATTAAATTAGTCATAAAAAAAGCAAGTGACAACAAAACTCCTGGAAGAAGTCAAAATGTAACTCTTCTATCAAAAACATCAGCCAACTATGTCATTAAATCAATTTCAATACTAATAAAAAAACAAATTAGTGAAGATATTAAAATGTCTGGTATGTATTCTATTCAAATTGATACAAGCCAAGATGTATCTGTATCTGATATCTGTTCAGTTATAGTAAGATATGTATCTTCAACCTATAAATCTGGAGTAGAACCTGCTATACACGAAAGAGCATTGTCATTTTTAAATCCAAAAAAAACTACTGGTCAAGCATTATGTGATTTAATATCAAATAATTTATCAAATAATTCAATTGATGTTAAAAAATGCATTGGAAGTTCAACTGATGGTGCATCAAATATGATTGGACAATATAATGGTTTTTCTAAATGGCTAGAAAAAGAATCGCCTAAGCAACTTCATGTGTGGTGTTATGCTCATTGCCTTAATTTAGTCATTATAGAAGCTACAGGAGTTTCAACTCCAGCTATATCATTATTTGGTCTATTAAATAGTTGTGCTGCATTTTTCAGAGATTCACATAAACGAATGGATTTATGGCGTAATTTATCATCAGATAGTCGTGTATTGAATTTAATTGGACAAACCAGATGGTGGTCTAAAGATGCTGCATTGAAAAAAATGTTTGGTTCATTTAATGAACCTTCTCATTCTTTATATATAACAGTAATAAAAATTTTTTCTATCATTTCTTCAAACAATGAAGATTTTAATAATGATTGTAGATGTACTGCAATGTCACTGTTGCAATCTTTAACAAAATTTGAAACAATTCTTACAGCACAATTATATTTAAAAATATTTCAGAGAACTACACCATTATCTAAATATTTACAGACTGATGGAATGTTTATTTTACAAGCTCAACAGATGGTCAGTTCAACATTAGAGTTTTTAAAAAAGGAAGCAAGAAATTTTGAAGATATTTTAAAGGCAGGTAAAAATTTTGTAAAATGGGCTAATGATTTAATTGAAAATGAAGATGAAATTAATAATTTGATCCCGGATAATTTGCCAAATGTGCGGATACGTAAGAAAAAAACATTGTTTGGCGAGAACCACAATGAAACTGTTACTGAAACTGCTATTGACTTGTTTAAATTTAATGTTCATAACACAGCGATGGATACAGTGATTTGTAAACTAGAACAACGTTTTGCTAAACACGCTGAAATATGTTCAGATTTTACATGCTTAGATCCTCGTCAATTTTCAAAACCATTGCCCACAACTGCTCTTTTCAAACTTAGTAAAGTTCTTGGATTAGAAAATACTTCTATTTTAAGGGAAGAATTTCTAGATTTTACCAAAAAATGGGATAAGCTTAAATTAAATTTACCTGAAGTATATGCAAGTTATAGAAGTGATGAGGAAAATGAACTTCCAGAATTAGATATAGAATATTTGCAAGAAAATGAGTTTGAACAAAATCTATGCAAAACAAATAAACGGTGTTTAAATTGTTTTCTTTGCTGTTTTAATGTATTGTTTAAATATAGATTATATGTTAAAGCATATAGCAATTTATTTTTAGCTTATATGTATATTTTAACACTATCATGCACTCAGGTAGGCTGTGAAAAGAGTTTTTCTACCTTAAGTTTTATTAAAAACCGACTTAGAAACCGTCTATCGATGGAAAATCTGGATGCATGGATGTTAATGCATTTAAATAAAGATATTTTGGAAACATTAACATATGAAAACATTATTGAGGAAGTGATAAAACATAGCTCAGTATTCAAAAAAATGTTGGTTGTTTAAAAATATATATTACCTACCTACCTTTACAAAGAATTATTATTATTTTTATTAAATAATTTATGTATTCTGCTTTGATGAAATTTTTTATGTTTTGTTTGACAATGTATTTATATTAATTGTTTTTTTATTATATTATATTTAAAAAATAAATAACTCATGACAAAGGCTAGTCATACACTTAACACAATATTTTTTTTTCTTGAAGGGGGAGCTTATATTTATTTCCTTCTTATAAATTATATTTTTAGATAATTCACTATTAACTAACATTTTTTTTTATAATAGAGATTGACAGCTTGTCCCCTTAGGTTCAACTACGTGGCTGATCAAAAGAAGCAGGGCCGCCAAAAAATAGAATTTCCCGGTACACATTTTGGGGCTAGTCCAACCCTGTACCTAATGGTTAATGGTTATCTACTATATTTTAGTATTTGCTAGTAGTCGGTAAATAACCATGCCAACTGCCAAATACTAAAGCGAGAAACCGAGAACCACCATCCAGGCTTAATATTATACAACTATACAAGTGTTAATACTTAATAGTTAATAGTGTTATATTATGAATTATTTATGATCTAATTAGTAATTTCTAAGTAACAGCGGAGGCACGGCCATAGACAAGACTATAGATACTATTTTTAATCGTGGTTCGAAATGAGAAGAAAGTGGATTGGAAGTTCTGAAGTTCAATATTTTATTGAGCACCATGATCTACATCTTCACCGTTAGATGTCGTCACACAAATCGCATTTTCATAATAATAATAACAAATAATAATAATGATAATCGCGGTAGTTGTGGCCTGTAGGATGACGAGTTTTCCACTCGTCGTCTCGCCGCGTAATAATTCCACCCGTTCGTCGACGACGTCCGCGCTCCACCACTACCGGCTACACTGCGCATGCGTGGCACTACAACCGCCGGCTGTGTGCCGCCGCAGCCGTACTGCCGTAGCCTTGCCGACTGCCTAATGCCTTACCGTACGTCGCGATAATACTCGGCCGACTGTAACATTATTATTTATTAGTTTATTACGTTGAACGTTCCCTTCTTATCCGATATCGCGCTATTCAGTTATTTCTACAATTATTAATATTATCATTATTATAATTATTGCAAGACGCGACTATGCGATTCCGTCTCTAGTCGTTGATCGTTATTGGCTGGTACGACCGTACGAGATTTGACTAACCCACTCGTTTACGCGACGAGTTCGCTTGCGTGGTTGTAGTTGAGATAATCGGTGGATTTACGACGCCGTCAGTGTCGAAAAGAAATCGGATCAAGACCCTGGCATAGGAGGGTGACCCAGCATCGACCGAAGATGGTGACACCATGACGTCGCGACCGGATTTTACAACACTTCAAGAGCAGTGGTTTTCCAATCTTTTCGACTGGATTAATAGGTACGAATCGCGATATCGTTAGCGTATCTAAAGCAACAAACAGCCAGGGCTTGTCTGACGGGGGCGTTGATCTTATTGGTGCCCCAACCGAACTCTTGGATTCAGGACGCCGTATCTTGCCTGCCAGAACTACACAGGAGACTGTTGCCGCCACAGACATTATTTCATATGCAGACTTCACAATGAGGAAGTTGAGCGGTAAGTGCCTTTTGTGGTATAATATATATTTTATCCTCTTCCACACACCGGGTTTGCCCTTCAGGAAATCTGTTCAGTCTTTTTTTTCCCCATCTTGGCTGATTTGACAATGCATCGTAGTGATCATATGACATTTGTGCTAACTAATTGCATAGGAAATGATATATAAGTCATAAGAGTCTACTATGGATAACAACTTACTAAGTTATTTGTATTGCACTACTACATACTTAAATCTAATGCGAGTTAGTTTTAGGTTGGTAGGTATGTCTAGGTACCGTCGATTTTAATGTAATTGTTTTTAAAAACCTACCTATTGCCTGGGTACCTAGGTAAAACAATTTCACAATTTTAGGTAGATATCGTTTTTTTGTGATGCAAGTAGCCTGGAGTACCTATTTGTTTTAGTTTATAGAAATTAAATTGAATTGAACTAGTTTTTTATTTTCAAAGTACCTACATAAAGTCATAAAAATGTATTTATCAATGTTGATATATGTGCCCAGTTATACCTAGGTACCTGTAGATATACTTATTGAGTTTTGTACTTAAATATTACCTACTAATATTTAGTGTAATACAATTATAAATTTATTGTTATATTAACATTTATCATTTATACTCTTAATAGTCAATACTAAAATGTAATTAATGAACATTCAGCTCAGCTAAACAGATGTTACACAGATGGCATATATTTTATGAAACAGTTTTTTTATTCTCAATTCTCATGGGTGTGAGTATTTTGTATATGTGAAAACACAATAAAACAAAGGTCATCACTGTATTAAATTTGTTTATAAATAATTGATGTACTCATAAATATTTAATATCTAGGTAGTAGGTACTATAATATATTATTTTATGTCCTTATTTTTTTTTTTTGATTTTCAACAGTTAATACCTAAGTATAAACAAATAATGAAATCAATTTTATTTAAGTTTTTAGTGTGTAGATTTGATATGTCTACAGTGTAGATTACTATGGTCTAAACTGAAATTTGTGTTATGTCGTTTATAATATATTCATTTGGCACATGCAAACCATACACATAATTCAAATTACTACTTAGCATAGTAGGTACTAGGTAGGTACATAACAATATAACATGTGTTGAAACTATGGTTAATTTGCTTACACATCTACTTACACATATTTTCATAGTACATAGGTAGTAGTTTTTTCATTGTAATTTTTAAAATTACTGATTATGAAATTGCACATTAATTACTCTGTTAATTACCATTACCAATATCATACAATTTTTTGAACATATTAAGTACCAATGAGTAAAGGTTTTAACATTTTAATGAATCAATTTTCCCAAACTTGAGCTGAAAAAATGTTTAAGCCGTGGTATAGGCTATATTATGAATTTAGTAGGTACCTATTTGTCATAAATTATAATTTATAATAAATGTTTATGACCCTAAGACACAATATTAAAAATAATTTACTATTGGTATATGATCTAAAGGTGTATTTTATAAAAGAAAAAAGTTTCTAAAAAAAATATTCTCGTTTTATAATTTCTCCTTTTTTAATAATCTAAACAGTAGCTAAAATATTGTCGCCAAAATTATTATAAAAATAATAATTTAGGTAGCTTAAACATTTTTCTCAAGCAAAATCAGGATCACATCAAAAGTATTGTTGCCCCCCAGCGGCATCATACATTAATACGACACTGACTGATTACTATGTTAAATTTTTTTGAAATGTTTCCTTTTATTTTTGTTATTATGTTGTTTTTCAATTGTATTCCATAAGGTTGGTTTATGTTAGGTAAAGTAAAATAACCACAATAAAAACTCGTAAAACTGCTTGTGTCAAACCCCAAATTCATCATGATTCATCATACCCCTTTCCTTTGGCTCTTGAGTCTTGATTATCCTAGTTGAAGACAGTATGAGTATAATAAAGGAAATTAAAAATATGATGGTAGGAGAACATTGTTGATAATAATAATATACATTATAAATATTAAATGTGGTTAAAAATATTTTAGGTTACTTTATCACCTTGTTTTGTTTATATTATGAACATGGACTAAGATATCTTAGGCCTTAGGGCCGATATCACCAACACAGTTAATCACGATTAACGTTAACCGGAGTTTTAATCGGCCGAATTTGGCCGGTTAAATATCTGTTATCAGCCGATTAAGCGTTAACCGTGATTAACTGTGTTGGTGAAATCGGCCCTTAGTCCGTGATTATGGCATACGAAGTACGAACGAAGTCAGTGGCGGTTTTGATAAAACATCTTGGGGGGGGGGGGGGAGCTATTTTCAATTTTTGGTCCTCCCCCACCATAATTAAAGCAATTCAAGCATTTAGTGTAATTTCAATTAAAAAAAGGACATGCAAATAAATCCAAGGGGGGAGCACCCCCTTCGCACCCCCTAAAAACCGCCACTGAACGAAGTAGAAGTCGTATTATGAATGTTGTTAACTGTAAATATAGGTAAAATGTGAAATTTGCTGTGGGGTTAAGCCATGTGTAAAAACAGTTCGACCTCCATGTAGTGATGCCACGAGGAAAAAAAGGTAAAAAGTGAAGTAATTAATCGGCATGGTAATTGTGTTGTGTTGTACCCCCCTCCCAAAAAAAAAAAATGTAATTCTAGTCTGGTATCAATAAAGTCCTCGATAAAGTCATTAGTAGTATATCTAACAATATAAATTTATAGCAGCCTATAATAATATAATTTATTGTACCATAGTAGTTATTATAGTCTATAGGTATATAGATTAATAATATTCCTAGGTAGTGGGTACTCATCGATCGTTATCGTATTTTTTTTCCAAGAAACTACATTTTTAAATAACACTAAATGATATAACACTAAATAAATGATATCTGTATGACTGAGAATATTCTGTAAATCTGTAATTTTAGTAATTTAACACTGTTTAAATATAATATAGTTTCTACCAGTTCATTAATAAAACCAGAGAAGTCCCACTGCAGCAGCCTTATAATAAGTTTAGAGTTGTAGACTGTTGTAGGTACCTCGTCAATGATTATGAGTAGGTCACTGTAATGACTAATAGATGACGTGTTAAAATTGAATTAATTAATAAATCATAGTAGTACGATAAACAGTTTCAAGCTGTCACTATTTCAGATTTCTAAAGATATTTTATAATTTATTTTGTCAAAAACATCATATACAGGGTGTAACAGAAAGATATGACAGATTTACATGTAAATCTTACACAAATCTGTCATATCTTTCTGTTACACTCTGTATATTATTATACAATAATTATCATATTAACGTCGTATTACCTATATATTATTATTGTTAACCTTAACTTATACTTACTTAAGTTAATACCAACATGACAATATAGGTACAGACAACGGTGTTTAATATGTTAATACCACGGGAGTTAATAGGTTCGTTGGATAAATAGCTTAAAATTAGTCTAAACGGTTTAAACATTTCATTGTGTTTAGAAAATAAATACTTAATGGCGATGTGTTTCAAGACCTTAATGTCAATATTTTCTGAATTAGGTACAACAAAATAACCAAAATCGTTAGAATAAAGATATCCAAATTATACCGGACAAATTGCAAGGTGTGCCTAGTGCTTAATTTGTAATTCAATTAATAATGTATTGTAAATAATTTTAATTCATTTTTTAAATTTGTAAGGTCCTCAGGGCCAATTAGTTGTGACGTAACTAAAGTTGTGTAAGTTAAAGAAAGGTCCAAAACATAGTTAGCCCCCCAACTTTGTCTATAACACCGGACAAATTGTAACTTGTAGAGCTGAATTTGCAGATAACGTTGGTTATGTTATGCCTGTGTATTTTCGATAATATTGTATAATGCTATAAGCTGTAATTACCTATAACTTATGAAGAACATTTTATTACTTTTCAAATTTATTGACGTAGCATATTAATTTTTATCAACATTTGTAAAAAAAATATACTAAAATAAACTCAAAAATGGCAAATGTCTATTGGTTAGCTATCAATAGCTTAAAATTATTCTAAATATTTTAAAAATTTCAATGTTGTATACAAAATTATAGTTTTACTAATAGTAGAGTGTTTCAAATTCCTACGAATATTTTTTGAATAATAACAAAAAATCGTTTTAGGAGAAAAAAACCATTATTAACCTTTGAATAGATTTAACTCAAGTTTCAACAAAACGTAAATTTCAAACGCTCATACAAAATTTAGATAATATGTTGCTTTACGGTAACTTTATTTTATTCCAAGAAAAAAACTTATGAAAATATTGTACACAATTTTAAATTCTTAGGTAATCAAATGAAAAATGTTATATTTTTAACTACTAAATAATTTTCGGTTGAATTATTCTTAATTTTGTTAAAATTTGATCTTAAAATCCTTATAAATAAATTATGACATTTTTTTTAATTGCTTTACGTATATTTCTCACTATAGTATATTTATCTCTGTCTTCCAAATGTACAGCGTATCAAATTTGAGTTCAGCAGAACCAATTTTGTGTGGTTAGCACCATCGAGGTATATAAACTATACTGGAGCGCGCACTGCGTATACCGTCCGTGTAATGAAAAACGAGCCGACGCGTTCGATCGTTTCCCCCACCACTGCAGGGCAACTTTAATGCCATGTACCGTATAATAGTACGACGTACCTACTACCTTTACGTGTATAATACATTATTTTTTTCAAAAATTATTAAATTAGGAATCAATAAAAATAATTTAATATCATTTAATTTTTTTAATAGCAAAACATTAAAAGTATTAGCCCTTAGTATAGTATACTCTAAAATATATTTGAGAAATACAATACTTATCATTACTACACATACAATATAAAATTAAAAATACTAATGAAAATATTTATTATTTCCTTTAAAAATATTAATAACATATAATTTAACATTCATTTACATAATATCATACTAAAATAAATTACATTCAAATTATAAATAAAAGTATAA